CTCCCTTCCCCCAGCTGTCTTTCTAGCATGATGCCCTTGTTCATCCACATTTGTGTTTCAGGTGTAGAGAGCAGAGAGTGAGCGGGGAGCGGGGCTTTTGTCTGTAAGTATATTCCATTCCCAGCCCCGGCCGGGAGCGCGGCTTGCTGTTTCGTGTGGGTTCCTTGCCCTTGCTCTTAGCCGGACCCTTCCACCCTGCTGCTTCTCTAAATTGTGAAGAACTGAAGCGTGCGTCCCTGGAGAAATTCTGGCATTTGGGTCCTGCTTCGTTAAGACGAGAAATTAACTTGGGCTTTTTAAACGTTCAAGTTAAAGAGAATAGAATTCTTGGGGAAGGGGTGGGCTTTTGTTTTGTTTCTTCCCCTCGTGTGGTCAATTTTTGTTCCCTCTGCTCATAAAGCATTGTTAGGAACTGTTTAGCCTGTTTGCATTAAAAAGGCACTTTGGTGCATGTAAGCCCCCCCCCCCCCCTTTTTTTAGTGATTCATGTGTGTTCTTGCTTCCATATGATTACTCTTTCAACAGTGCTATGAAGGCTCCTTCCAACCGTTCTGTCTTGCAACACTTTTTTTCTTCCTGCATTTTCTTATAGAGCAGTTAAACTTTGGGGTGGGGAGGACCCTTAAAAATAAATGACAGCCTTTTTCTTGATGATGAGAACAACCTGATTTGCATTGATGTGTGTCTAGAATAACATCATAGGCGTCCTCTGGAGCTTATTTTACCCATTTAGAGAAGTTTGGGTTTCTCCATTCATCTTCTTTTTTTGTCGTAACTTGTGCTAACAAAAGAACCCTGCTCTGATGACTTCAAGGCGGAGGGGAATCACTGCAGAGTGTACATGAATGTTTATTTGGTTGGGGTGAAGGGCACAATGGTATATATTCCTGACTCCCCCTCTCGTGCAGGGTTTTTTTTTAAAAGCACGGAAGGTTATGTAATGCAGTGCCATTTCCAAAAATATCCACTCTGAGGCATTACACTACCCGGTGCAAGGCTGATTCCTGTTCTGCTGTCTTGATTGCAAATATACTGCCAGTAGTATGTCTGGGAACAAAGAGCAGCCAGAAAACAATCTATTTTTACCACTTGATTTTACTTTTAAGTTGCTAAACCTTTTGAAGTCCTGCAGTATAAAAATGAACCGAACACTAAGAATAGCCCAGGACACTGCAAAGCCAGGTACCAGGGGTTCCTTTGTCCCCTAGTCCAGCCCAGGGACCTGCGTGGAAAGCTCTGTGGGAAGCCTCACTAGTTGCACTTATTTGCATGGAACTTCCCTTAACCACAGAAAATGCTTATTTGTCTGTAAACTCTCGAGTCTTTTTTTTCCTTTCATTTACTAACGTGGTGAGGCTGTTTGTCTACTGTATTTAAACATATTTTGCAGGTTGGTCTCCCTGGACTGAAGAGAGAGAGTGTGCAAGCACAAGATTAAGATTCCCAAAATGGTAAGAATTGGTCATCAGAGGAAATTCTCAGTAGCTTCTTATCAGGCTTTATTGCTTATAAATATCAGCCACCCACCTTCATCCCTCCTCAACCTTCCATTGTTCCTACCCCATCTGACCTTTAAATGCTTCTATCTCCAGCATGTGGGGGGTTGGCAGTACAGCACTTTATGGGAATTGGATGTGGTGGATTAGGTCTTTGGATTTTCAATCATTTTTTATAGAAAACTGAAATTCCTCTTTTAGAAGCAAAGATTTAAGTTGAGCATCAGAAACCCTTCTGTTCTTTAAGAAGAGTGATGTGCTGGGACAGTCGTGGAGGGGTGACAGCGTCAGGGCTCAAAAAAAGCACTTTGTCTTATTATTGCATTCAACCAGAACTAGAACTTAGCCCAAATTTAGAGATTTGCATGGAACTAATCAAACAGCTACAGTATATGCAACCTTAATAGCAACATATGTGAAATGCATGGATTACGTATTACTATGCCCTATCTGTTATGTTTTAAATGTAATTAGTGCCTTTTTGCTGATTATAACTTCAAGTGTTAGAGACATCTCTGCAATTTTAGATCCAACATGCTACTCTCTAAATGAGAGCCTATAACTATTGCTGACAAAGATTATGACAAAGTAGTTTGGTGTTTGAATACACTGTTTAAGAAAGAAAAAGATGGGATCCATGTTAACAATATCTGGCTAAATAAAAGAATTTTCTATAAAAAAATTCCCTTGGGGAAATAAGGTTTAAGTGAAAAAAATAGTAGAAATGCCATAGAACTTTTCAGTCAAGTACAGTATGCCCTGCTGCATATGTTTATACTCTTTAAAATCCCTCTTTGCCACTCAGAATGTGTGATTTCCAAATTTAGTTTTAGTTTTACTTTGAGACGAGGGTGGAATTTAATGAATCAAAATTGAATCCGATATGCTTGATGTTTTCTTTGAGAACCACCCAATTCTAAGCTTCCAAGGAGAAAAAAATGAATCAGAGGCAATTAAGTTGAGTTCAGTTTGAAGTTTATTAACAAACGAGGTGTGTGTGTGTGTGTGTGTGTGTGTGTGTGACCTGGATTTCAACAGGAGGGTGACAAAGTACCAAATAAAATAACTCCTTACATGCACTTGGTTTGGTAATGATCAGATTAAAGAACTTGAAGTGGAAGGACAAAAGGGGTGAACATTAACATTAATCAGTAGTTTTATGTAGACGTTCCTGACTTTATATTAAATTTCGGATAAGCCGTGGCACTAGAGCAATAGGATGATAATAAAATGGACTGCTACAAAGTATTGTTTTTAATTTTATTTATCTTTTCTGTGACTGGCTGCACCACTCAGCTTTCTAGTTTATCCTAGAACCTCACCCAGTCTTTGTCACCAGAGAGACAATGAGGGTTCACATATACCATAAGAACTCTAATGACTAGGCTGATGGACATAAACATGACCATTGGTTGACCCCGCCAAATAGAGTCCTGTAGCTCACACACAGAGAGTAAATGTGGTGTGTCTGTCGTGGTGGGTCGAATGAACTTTGGCGGGTACGTGTGCCAAAACAGAATGAAAGTTGGAAGCATCTGACTGCAGAAAAACAAAGGTGAATTATGATTACATGTAATTAATTTCTTACAGTTGTCATTTATGTATGGTGACGGAACGAGGAGTCACTATTTGTTGCTCTTGGAAGGAATTTTCACTCATGAAAAAATTCTCGCAACTTTTTGGCGATCCTTTCATCGAGATGTCAGTCCCTTTGGCACAAGCCCATTACTGAAATGAAACCATCGACAGTTATTGTCCATGGGTGATTCCAAGCAGCTTTCTAGCAATCCTCTTGTTCTGGGTGGGCTGTGCTCTGAAAGTCTTGGGCACCTATCAATGATGTTTTCTTAAGAAAACTGGTCTGCTAGAGGTGTCTACTTTCTGTTACTTTTTTTCACAAAATGAAGTTCTATTCTTTCCTTAATTAAAACTGGAATTACTTCGTGATCTCTATAACTGGTTTACCTAGAGTATAAGCCTGTCCCACATATAATGGAAATTACTGGGAGCGAAGCAGTAGATTTAACACTCAGCCACCTCTGGGAAATAAATTGGCATACCTTTTCTGTTAACCGGATATTTCTATTTACTTAATTAAAAAAACCAAAGAGGATCCAATTTCAGTGGATTTAACTCATTAGTGGCACACTAAAGGGTTTATTCCCAATACAAATTTGTAATCAGCTCATTCAAGTGTAAGAAAATAACCAGTAGAGTCCAGAAGTCGAAACAGCGATCCAGCATCTGAGCTTTTTATGTACTACAGAATTGCTAATACAAGTTTCACAACAAGAATCCGGAGACACTCTAAGAATCCCGGCAGTCCTTCGTCGTTAGCAAAAATTACCAACACCACTTTGCAGAATCCAGGAGACCTTGGTCATTTGGTACTCCAGAGTGGCTTCTTTTGGGCACAACTCCAGAGGGCACCACTTACATTGATTACATTGCATATGGTCGCACCTGGGATTGTGCCAATTAGATGTGGTTAAAATGTTTAACTTCAAATATAATTTGCTGTATTGTAGCCAACCAGAATATTTCTCAATGTTTAAAGCTTTCTAGTAAGCATGCCTTGTTGTAATAAGGGTATTACAAATCTACAAGGATCTTCAGCATTTCTTTCATATATATATATATATTGCTAAATTATAATTGCTTAGATTATATATATAGTATATGGGATTTCCTTAGGTAGTTTATTTAAAATACACTTGGTTCAAGGAGTACTCATTTCAGAATGGGAAGCCAAGCCTATGGAATTGTTTGAAAAAAGTGCAAAGTGAAAGAAGGTTAAGTCCTGGTTTTTAACATGACTAACCCCCTCCCTGCACAGGCCGCTTGCCTCAAGTACGTGGATGCAGTGGACTCCCAGTGGCATAAGCATGGCTGGTTAATGTTTTAGCAGAGACCTAGGAACTGGAGCAATTTAAGTTCTCTCTGAGGCTGAGGCTGAGCTTTTCAAAAAGATGAGTTGATTCCATTGTATCACTCGTGGAGCTCTGCTTTCTGTACAGTCTGAAGTGGCATTCATGCGCTCACAAGGAGACTCTTTCAATAATCTCCCCATTAACATAAGGTTTCCTTGTTTAAAGAAAAAAGCAAGTATTGGTGGGGGTTGGGGGTGCTGGCGCAAGGTCCTCTTGGTAGCTTTGCTTCTGGGGTTTGGAATATAAATTTAGAAGTTGTTCAGTGACTCTTAATTGTGGAGGTGTAGAAGAGTACCCAGGAAGGTAATTTCAGAAGGTACTATCTTCCCTTTCACTAGCTCTTCCTTCCAACATAGAATGAAGGGGAGAATTGGGAATTGTTTGGGGAATTAGGCCAGTTGAGATGATGTAGTTGGAATTATCCTCAGTCCAGTTTCCTCTTGAGCTGCATAGATAATTCAGGGAAGAATCAAACTGCACACACAGTATCGCTCTAGAATATGTTCCATTTTACTCCACTGAGGCAGTTCTCAAAAAGTTTTGTGTCAATGAGGTCACCATCAATAAACCAAAAGAAATCACTCTTATTTTAAATCTTAGTGCTAACACTTTTAGAGTATGAAGGTCTATTGGGTAAGCTAAGTTAATAACCCCCGGATGCGGAGTTTTATACATGTAAATATTCATCTACCTGGTCGAGGAAAGACCCAAACTGCATTCGGATGTGTCGGACTGGCCTGGCCAGGGAGCACTGGAGTGAAATGCTTCCTGAGTCTTCTGTATTGTCTCTGTGCCATTGCTGGATGGGAAGTCTTTTAAGGACACATCCTCAGCCAAAGTGAAAGAAAGGGCTGAGGTAATTATCTGAATAATTATGTTCAAAACTGGATGCTAGCTGATTCATCCTGGTAATTCAAAATGTTGCTGGAGTGACGTGGGAGTGTGAAGAATCTGCCTGAATGATCTGTGTAATTGTTATGCAGGAACAAACTAGGGCTAAGCAAGCTTGACGGCAAACCCGATTTAAACATGCGAGGGGAAAGTGTATGAGGTGTGCTGGGCCTGTGTCATGGTGGTTGATCAAGGTACAGTTTTAAACGACTCCTCTGCTTTGAGCTGGAAAACAGATTACTCATAAATCTCAACCCTCTTCTGTAGAAACGATGTGCTAAAAGTATCATTTATTGGGTCTGAATTTATGGGAGTTGGATATTTCCAAGTATATTTTGTCTTGTACCTTGTGACAACTTCAAGAATTTTTCATCTCATTGGTTTGAAGAAGAGTAATGATCCTAAAGCTGGGCCGCTAGGGCCTGCCAAGTATTGGTTTCCCCAATGGTTTGGGACTGGTTAAGCATGGCTCTCAACTAAATTCTAAATATCAATTTATTTATCAGTCGCAATGACGTGATACTGTCTGGATGTAGCACTAGATGAAACTCTCAAGCATTATCTGTAAGTGAGGGCACGTGGTTTTTCTTTTGTACCACTAAATTATAGGCCCCAGATTTATAAGGGATCCCTGGTGGCCCTGTTCAAAACCCACCAGCTGTGTTGCAGGCTCAAGATGGGACTGTCTGACTCAACAATTTTCAGGCTTGGACACCCCAGGTAGATAGGGTTACTATGAGTCAGAATCAACTCAATGGCAGTGGGTTTGATTTTGGGTTTGGGTAAGGGGTTTCTAAACTACCCAGTATGGAGTAAAGTACTGAATATATATGTTAGGGGCACAATACATACTTGGCCTCTGCATGCTAAGATTTCTAAAGCTGGCCATTTTTTGATTCATTCCTAATGATTGAATCATGTTTGATTTTCATGAGCTAGAAGCGATTTATATCCTCAGTGTCTCCTAACGTGCAAGGGAACTGAAGTGAATGCAATCTTAGTTTCACAGCAGATGCTAATCTATTATCCATTAATAGGCGAAAGCTCACCGGGGTTAAGTCACAAAGCGTGTGATCTTGCCAAAAGAGAGTGACTTGTGATCACTCACCTTCCCCCGCTCTCAGACCACATTAT